TCACTGAACAAACATGCAATATAAATTCATTAAGGGCATGTACTCTTTTTTTTTTCTTTTTAACTTTCTTTTTCTGGGACCTAGCATAGTGCCAAGAACACAGTGGCTACTTGACAAACTCTTGTTGAATTGGATTGAACTTTTGTTAAGCTCTGTGTGCAGAACTAAAATTCTACTGAAACTGCTTTCTTGGAAATCACCAGTGACCTCCTTGTTACTAAATCCAATAAGCTTTTCTCTTTCCTCATTCTTCAGGATATCTCTGATGTATTTGAAACTGCAGAATACCTAATCACTGAAACTCTTTCTTCCCTTCACTATACTCTTCTGGTTCTCTTTTTCTTCAGTTGCTATTTCTCTGACTGCATCTTTTGAATGCATTTTTTCCTCCTCTTATCCACTAACTAGGGGAATTTCCAAAGGCTTAATATGTGGCCTTTTGTTCTTTTTTCTCAACACTTCCTTCCTTGGACAACACATTCATTTTCAACTACCACTTATACGTAGATGCCTCTCAAATCTACAATTCCAATCTACTTTTTCCCCTAAATTTCACTCTCATTTTTCATGTTTCTATTTGGTTATTTCAATGCTACCTTAAACTCAATATATCTAAAACATAGTACATCAGTTCCCCATGAAAATCGTCTTCCTTCCAATTTTCTTGTTTTGTCAGTGGAAAACCATTGTTTCAGATGCAGAAATATGGAAACTTGAAGTCATCAGTGACATCCCTCTAAATGATTTTCCTTTTCCACTCACTTTCCATGCCATTGATTTTCCACCAAAAAGTTTCTCATATCCAACCCTTGTTCCTCATTTCCATAGTCACCATCATAGTCCAGGCCGCCCGTTATCTCATGATGCAATCATTGCAACTGCCCTCCAGCTGGCCTTCTCCACTCCACATTCTCCCTATTCCTTCTACACTGCACACTGCTGCTTTAAACATTGATTTTAATTACAACACAGGTGCAGGTCCTGGCTCTACATTTATGAGCTATGAGACCTTGAACAAGTCACAGGGCTCTCTCAGCCTCACTTTCCTTATTGCTAAACAAGGGCAATTGCACTACCTATGACAGAGATATGTTGTGAAAATCAAATTATTGAGAAGCAACATGGCACTGGATTTTGAGTCAGGAGGATGTGGATTAAATTCCCACTTCAGATACTTAAAGTTATGAGACACTGCTAACCTCTCTGTGCTTCAGTTTCATCCTCTGCAAAATGGGAGGAGGGCTGGATTCAAGCCTTCTAAGGTCCCCTCCAACTCTCAGTCTATAACTCAACAACAAGAACAAAACCATAGAATATAATCCAACCCCTGCCCTATCACTGCTAATTGAAATCCAACCCATTCTTCAAGGCCCAACTCAAATGCCTTGTTCCCTTTTCATTTCCCCCAGTCAATTGATGTCACTCCATCTCATTTGATCATATAGCACTTTGTTTCTACTTGTGTTATATAATTAACAACTTCTTATTTATGTAATATTAGTGTAAATATTTCACCACCCCTAAGAGATGATAAGATCTTTGAGGACAGAGTTTCTTATTTATCTTACTCTCTTCCACAGCATCAAGCAAAGTTCATTGCATATAACATGCATTATCTATGTGTGATATGTATATACACATATTATATATAATGTTCTTTCAATAATGTCAACATTACCTCAAACTTAATGTTTTTAAAACCCGGAATATCATTTCCCCATAAAAACCAGTTCTTCCTTCTAACTTTCCTGTTTCTTCAGTGGCACCACCATTGCTTCAGATGCCAAAACATGAAAACTTGGAGTCACTTATTACTTTTCCATCTAACTGATTTCCCATATCCAGTAGATTTCTATGTCCTATTAATATTTCCTCCAGAAAATCTCTCATATATGACCCTTCTTTTCCATCTCCACTGTCACCATAGTAATCCAGATATCTCATTATCTCATGGTCCAAACATTTCAACTGCCCTCTAACTGGCCTATCTCACTCCATAATGATAATATTACATTAATAGCTTTATTTTTGAATAAATGATGTCTTGTCTTGCTCCCCAATTGTTTCATATATGTAGGTCTTATGTCTCCAACTACCTTGGAAATTCTTTGATTCATTCATTCAATGAACATTTATTAAGCACCTACTATGTACCAGGCACTGTGCTAAGTGCCAGAGAGCATGGACTATATCTTTTGACTTCTTGTGTGTCCTTACAGTGCCTAATACTTGCTGAGCACATAGTAGCTTATCAATGAGTACTTTTTCACTGACTGACTGAAATCCATCAGGCTCAAAAGATCAAATACTGTCTTGTGTGCTATAGTCCAGACTGAACTTTGTAATTGTGGGAGTATGCATTTGACTCTGTTGTGCAATAGCAAGTCTAGAAAGCCTGTGGTGGGGGATCTTGCCAGCAGAAATAGCAAGGTACCACAGGGCTGGCTGCCGTCAGATTTCTAACCTCTCTATTTGAGGTGTAATAATTCATTAGTTGAGGAAATGCTTTCTCAAGTGTCTACAAGCCAGAGCAGAAATGTGGCAGCTATAAATTGCATCCTGTCCATCACAGAACATAGATATTTCACACTATCCTTCACACTCATCATAATTCTTCTTGGGAAACAGGCTATTTGAACAGTTCCATTACTGCAGCTCCTGATAACTTATTTTCTTTATAGAGGAACAGAGATGGCATTTCAGAATCTCTGTATCACACCAACTGATTCCAGGAATATGAGTTTTGTGTTTTGGCATTCAACTTTATAGTTCCAATGCAGATTGACATAAATGACCCAATCATTAATTCACACATCCTAGCTTAAAAAAAAAAAACTCCTGCTTTGAAAAAAGAATTCTGAAATATCTTCTTAAAAGATTGGTGCAATTCAGTCTAAGTTCATTGGGTATTAAAATAGTGGCATTACATGGTCATTTAGGTAGAAGCTATTTAGTAGTTATTATTATTTTACTTTTATGACCACAAATCTCCAGAGTCAAATATTGTTAAAAATCCTTTCATCACCTTAGGATCCTAGGATCATAGATTTAGGGTTGGAAAGGACATTAAAGATCCCCTAGTCTAACTCCTTCATTTTATGAATAAACAAACTGATGATTTGCCCATTTCGTGTAAGACCTAATTTTTCAAAATATTACGTACTGTATCTTTTCTGCCTGGCCTGAAATCATGTGATTCTATGATATCATCTCTAATTACTGCTTTTCTCAGCCTTTCCCACATAGCCAAGTGATTCTTTTTATTTTTGGGGGTGGAGGGGTTGGGCAATGGGGTTAAGTGACTTGCCCAGGGTCACACAGCTAATAAGTATTGTGTGTCTGAGGCCGGATTTGAACTCAGGTCCTCCTGAATCCAGGGTTGGTGCTCTATCCACTGTACCACCTAGCTGCCCCTTCAAGTGATTCTTTTTACAAGACCTTGGATTTGTCCTATTCAAGACCTGCTTGACTTAGCCTAGTAGCGAATTCACTCAGCAGACAACATACTATGTCCAGAAAGTTGAGGAGCAACTCATCCACCAGCTATGCCACACCCAGAAGTTAACTTGGTTGGAAGAATATTTTCTGGCAATGACTTGAAACTTGAGGCCATTCTCCCAAGGGATCAGGGTGGTGGTGGCCAGTATGTCTCTGGTTTTGAATGTTGCACTTCATCTTTCTATACCTGCTCAGCAAATATTCATTTGTAAAAGCTTTTCATTAAAAAAAAAAAAGGATGTATATAGTATCTCCCCAACTAGATTGTAGACTCCTCTTGTCCAGGTTCTATTTCTTCACTTTTTTGGGGGGGAGGGGGATTTGAACTCAGGTCTTCATGACTCCAGGCCTAGTGCTCTATCTACTGAACCATCTAGCTGCCCCACACTCTATGGATACAAACTATAAAATGTTGCTGGAGTTGGGGCAGCTAAGTGACACAGTGGATAGAGCTCCAGCCTTGGAGTCAGGAGGACCTGAGTTCAAATCCAGTCTCAGACACACAACACGTGACACTTACTAACTGTGTGGCCTTGGGCAAGTCATTTAACCCTGATTGCCTAGCAAAAAGAAAAAAAATGTTGCTGGAGTTTAGATAAGGTGGCATTCAGTGAGAGCAGCTAGAGAAGTTGGAGAACACTTCATATAAAAAGAAGAATTAGAGCTGAAGGTTGAGAGTCCACACCATATTGTCATGTCTAGGGTACGCATTCCATAAACTGCTATAAAAATCATAGGATATTAGAGCTAGAAGAAACCTTAGAGATCATCCAATCCGGCCTTTTGGGACGAGCTAAGCCCTATAACTCTACACATCAGGGACTCATCTTCACTCTGACATTTTCTACCTGCCACCTCCCCCATCCTTCTACATTTGCTTGAGAAAACTACAAATCATCCCTACCATAGGCTTTGGAACGGCTATATTGATGGTCTTCTCTACTGTTTGACTCACCATCTTTGGGACTTTCAAGACTAGAACTACCTTCCATGGCCCCTGCTCCCTTTTGAGTGTTGTCTACTCCAACAGAATATAAGCTCCATGAGGGCAACAACTGTCTCTTTTTTGTATTCATATCGACAGAGTTTAGCTCCATGCTTGGCTGTATATTTAGAGCTTGATAAAGCTTTTCACTCATTTCATTCATCCATTTTATAGATGAGTAAATGGAATCCTAGAGATTTACTCAGAATATTACCAAAGTAGTCAGACGTATAGGAGAGATGTGATCCCAACTTCTCTGACTTTTAGTCCAGAGCTTTTTTCATCATTCTATGATGTTTTTCTGATGAATAAATGCATGCATGCATGAAAGAATGAATAAATGAATGAGTGAGCAAATATGCTGTATTTTGGAAGCTTGAAAGAAAAAAATGTTAATTAACTAAGGCAACAGACAGCCACACACATACAAAAAACGCATATTTGTCAAAGATATGTATAGAATATTTTTGTCAAACTAATTTTTTAAGATTCTCAAATGTATGATTTTTGTACTCACCGGAACAGAAACCTGAGGATTATCTGTGAGCTTTCCTAGAACAGCAAAACCATCCACATCAATCTTGCCCCTTGGCTTTATGGGTAAGGATTCAATCCTTTTGCAGTCAATAAAGAGGGTGACGCTTCTCCTTTCCACACCAATCATAACTTTATGCCATTGGGAATCGAATAAAATAGGAACATTTGAAAAAGCTGCAGTTTGGAGGCTGCCATCCACACCTTTATAGGAAAATGAAAGAGATTGAGTTTGGCCATTAATCTTCATGCCAACTTGCTCTTTCCCCAAGGAATCTTGTATCTGCCAGATGCTCCAGTTCTTTTTCAGAGTGCTTCCAGTCATCCGAAAAGTTGTTAAAAAGGAGTATTCTTCAGGTAGTCCATTGGGATACAAATGTCTGGGTGGAACCAAAAAAAGTAAATATGAATCTTATTTTGAGTTCCATAATTTCTTTTTAGGTTTTCAATAGTTCCCCAGATTCCAGGCTTAAAGAAAGACTGTAGTTTGAGAATCTTACCCTTCACTATTTGGCCTTTCATAACATTCAATAAAGGTCTTCCCAGAGACCCAAGCATGCTTCTATTTTAATACTAAGTTTTGGAGAACATGTAAAAGCCACCACTCTCCTAGCCAAGCATGGCTAGGTGTTCCCAACCTCAAGAATTCCAACAATGTCACCATTTATTCTAGCCAAAGAACTACTGTTATTCAGCCTCTGTACCAGGGACCAGACTATATACTTCTACAAAGTTTTCAGCAACTTTAGGCCCAGCTACTGAGAGATAATTTAGAATTCAAATCATTTCCACTAGTTTAGGAAAGCTTATCCATTAGGAAAAGCTACCAAAATTTTAATCAGATGAATAGATATTAAATAATTTCAAGGTACTAATAATTTCAAAATAATTGTACATTATTTTCAGATTTACTTGGATATATATATATACATATGTGTGTATATACATGCATATAGGTGTGTATATGTGTTATATGTATGTATTTATGTGTGTGTGTGTATAGTTATCCCTCCTGTATCACAGGGGTTAGGGGTGTGGTGCCTCCACAATCTAGAAAATCCACACAAAAATTTTTTGGCCCTTCGTTCATACCAGAGATTAAGTCTGAATTATTATGCATCAAAAGATTTAAAATGGTGATATTATACCATAATATATTTTATATATATAATATAATATATAATAGAATAGAATAGAATATATTTTATGCATTTCTGAGTTTCTAAACTTTTTCTGTGTCATCTACTGGCATTCGCATGTTGTCTGCTGCTTCCACAACACTCCCAAAAAATTTCCATTTACTTTCTTATGCCCACCAACAATACATGGAAACAATGATGGGTAAAGTCCCAATATGGAAGGGATACCTGTATATAATCTTCATGTCACTATGTCCCCAACTTTCTTATACATTTACTTTTGGAGCAGAAAAATTCATAAAACATTTATCCCTTGCAAATCCCAGTCCTCATTTTGGATTTTGTTTCTGTTTTGCAAAAGTACATTTGCACTGCTTCCAGTTCTCTTAGGATTGTGCTTTATCCTTGTCATAGCAGATAAAGGGTTAAATAAGTTACTATTGTCTGAGCCAGAGAAAGGATCCAAGTAGTAAATGGCCTATTGGTAAAAGTAATGAGTGTGAGAGGCAAGGGTGAATCAGCATTCACCCTCTATCTCTCCACAATTGCATCTCATTTTCCCCCTCTTTATCTGTCCTCCTTATACCCATACACATACTCTCTCCAACTTCCCTTGTGCTGGAGAAGTACCCCATACCACACCCTTAATCCCATGGGAAAACACGCAGTGACCTGGGGCTACACCAACTTCCTGATGACTCTTCTACTAAATCAAAGCTGCTCAAACTTGAACTTAAAGAGAAAGGAAATTCCAAATTTCTTACTAATCTGTCAGCAATGACAGGCCAAAAATGAAATGGGCTACTTCTGAAGGTAGTCAATTGTCCCTCATTAGAAGTCTTCATGCAAAGACTGAATGACTTCCACAGGTATGTGGTGAAGGGGGGTAATTCTTGTTCTGATTTGGCTTGAACTAGATGTTTTCTGAAATCCCTTCCAACTTAGGTATTCTGTGATTTTGTGAAATGGTTTTACTATCGCTCTTCCTCTAAGAGATTGTCTTTCTTTCTCTAAGCAGTAAAGAAAGACTAAGGAATAAGAAATCTTAGGAGAATTAGATTGCAATTAACTCTGTTATTGTCCACTGTATAATTGAGGGATGAGCTACTGTCCTTTAGCAAATCTCAAAGATCAATGATCATTGCTGAGTTTTGAATGTGGTCCAGAGTTCAGACTCAAATGACCTCCTCTTGCCTTCTCCCTTCTCTAATGATCCCATTTTTCAAGTGAAAGTATCAGGAACAAAGGAGAGGGAATTATGTGAGAAAATAAACATTTGATTTATTGTAATAATATTTCAATTACTGAAACAAATATAGTAAGAACTTATAATGAATTGGGCCTTATCAACTCAGTACATTACAATCATCTATTGTGGAAACAGAAAACTTCTGTTCTAGAAATCTTTATGAATTTCTGTCAATTTCCTAGTTTCATAGCCTATCCACCTTAATCGCTTAAGTTGCCAAAATGACCCAGCCTTCTTCTGGAATTTTTTAATCATAGGATGTAAGAAGAGACCTCAGAAGACATAGTCAAACCCTGTTTTACAAGTGAGGAAACTAAAACCAAGAGTTGTAAAGTGACTTGCCCAAGGTCATAGGAAAAGTTAGATTACAATTTGGATCTACTAGTTCATAGTTCATTCCTTATGCTATGATGACTTCTTAATTGTACTCAGTCACATGGCTTATATGCAGCCACCATTGGGGACCCGAATGTTGAGGCAAGCCTTCCCCCTTCCTATCAGTTTACTGACAAATCAAGTAAAAAAAAATTAATAATCCTAAAGGAACATATAAGGAAGTGTAACGGAGAGGCTAACATAGAAAAGACAGCTTTAAAGTTGAAAAAGATCTCAGAGACCATCTAGTCTAATCCCTCATTTTAGAGATAAGGAAACTGATGCCCTAGAGAATTTCCATGATTTGTCCAAGGTCACAAAAATAGTAAGTCAGAAGCAAAATTTGAACACATACCAAGAGAATTCAAAGCAAAAGACAGAAAAGTTTTAGCTACCTTGCCAGAATGACTGATTTATTTTTTCATACCTTCGTTTTCATAATGGTTCAGCTAAGTGGGACAACAATTTCCAGTAAGTCCTCGGATGCTTTGTAGGGTTTAGCAAATAACCGAACACTTGACCTTCTTCTGGGATTATTGTTGGACTATTGTGCTTCCACCATGATTCCTCTTATAGCAATTATTTTCTATAATATTTTTAGATTCATGTTCCTAGTGTTATATTTATCTTTTTACACATATACTTAGGAACTAGTTACTGATGTTTACTACTATTCTTCTTCTTATTGCAGTATACTTTTCAATTCTACTTAATCACTCACTGAGCTCTTACTCTCTGTTTCACATCATTTATCCTGTACATTTTCAAAATGTGTTTTGCCAAAGAAAAATAAAACCTGTATTCTAGAATTTTTGATTCTGGCTGTTTTCTTTTTTTTGTTTGTTTTAACTAAAGTATTTGTCAATTGATATTGAGATGTATAGTTTACTGTTTCAGAAAATCATAAAGTTTAGCAATAATAGTTAGCTTTTATATGGCACACTTAAAGGTTTATAACATGCTTTATAAATATTACTTCATTTTATCCCCACAACAACCCTGGGAAGTAGGTGCAATTATTATCCCCATTTTACAGATGAGGAAATGAGACAAATAGTTGTTAAGTGACTTGCCCAGGGTCACCCAGCTAGTAAGTGTCTGAGGAAGGATTTGAATTCAGGTCTTCCTTACTCCAGGGCAGCTAGGTGGACAGTGGATACAGTCCTGGAGCCAGGAAGACTCCCCTTCCTGATTTAAAATCTGGCCTCAGACACTTTCTAGCTGTGTGACCCTGGGCAAGTCACTTAACCTTGTTTGCCTTAGTTTCCTCATCTATAAAATGAGCTGAAGAATGGCAAACCACTCCAGTATCTTTTCCAAGAAAACTTCAAATGGTGTTATGAAGTTGGACACTACTAAAACATCTGAATAACAACAAAAACTTCCTTACTCCAGGCCCAGCACTCTATCCACTACACCACATAGCTACCTTTAGATTATAAGTAGGATTATAAGTAGGATAAGTAGTCCCACCCCTAAATCTTGTGCCTTTGTACATGTTGCTAAAAGAATCTGTTTCCTTCCCATTCAAATATGAATAATATTAATGGAGATGTTGCTATGGTAATTAGCTGAGAAAGCTGAGCTGATAAATCTGTCTTCTTTCTCTTCCCTTAAGCAATATTGCATTAGTGGTCAATGTTCCAAGAAAGACTCTAAGGCTACTATGTGAGATGGAAGGCTTCTAGTAAAAGAAGTTCTCAGGCTAGGAATAGCCCTGGAAGTAAGGCCAGAAATCACTTAGGATGGGCCGTGCGGAAGGGTACCTAGCTACTTCACACACACACACACACACACACACACACACACACACACACCTAGGATCCCTTTTCTTTAACACCGCAGTTGTATATTTAAGTGATAAAGTGATATACCACTTGATAGAGAGCTGATGGTCAAGAAAAGAGATATAGATATATATTATATAGAGGTAGAGAGAGACAGAGAGAGAAACAGAGAGACAGAGAGAGACAGAAAGAGACAGAGAGAGAGACAGAGAGAGAATGGAAATAGTGTCCCTCCCAGAACCTCCATGTAAGGAGCACACTCAATTCAGTTGTTTCTTCATTTCTCACCAAGCTGCTATCTGGACTCCTGCATCATGCTCCCTGTGCTAGATACCTTCTTTCCCTTCCCCTCCTTTTAGGCTTCCTTTTTTCATATGTTGTCTTCCCCTATAGAATGGAAGTTCTTTGATGGCCAAGAGTATACTTTATTTCCCAGAACTTAGCATAGTACCTGATACACTGTCGTTATTGTTGCTATTCAGTCATGTTCCACTGAGGTTTTCTTGGCAAGGATACTAAAGTGGTTTGCCATTTCTTTCTCCAGCTCATTTTACAGATGAGGAAATGGAGGCAAACAGGGTTAAGTAGTTTGTTCAGGGTCACACAGAAAGTAAGTTTCTGAAGTTGGATTTGAACTCAGGTCTTCCTGGCTCCAGGCCCAACATTCTATCTACTGTACCAGCTAGCTGCCTAGCATATAGTAGGCACTTAATAAATGTTCGTTGATTGACTGACTCAGAAGATGGGTATGAATTCTGGGTCTGCTACTTAATATCTATATTATCTTGGGAGGCAAGTCTCTTCCTCTCATATCAATGGGCCTCAGTTTCATCTATAAAATGAAGAAGTTTTCAGGGATGTGTTAGAGTCACTTTGAACCTGAGAGCCGATTGTTAAATTTTTAATGTGAGCATTTACATGTTGGAAATTTGCAGATGCTACAAATCAAGTCTTGCTTTATTGTTTTGTTGATTTCTGGACTTATGAAATGATAAAGAAAATGTTAATAATGCAGATCAAATTTGAAAGTGTGTCACGGGTACTTCTTGGTTTGTGTGTTTTTTTCTGGAAAGCTGGTAATTAAACATTTACCACCAGCCCACTTCTGTCTTTATTACATGATCCCTAAGTTTCCTTCCTGCTCTAAATCCTGTGAGGCTATAAAGCCAATGTGTTAGAAAATTGAAGATGGAGAATTTTAAAAAAAAAAAGATTTTCAAAATCTCTCCAAATTGGCCACATTGGTCAATTGGAAAACATTACTTTTCAACAATACACCTATTGCATGAAAAACAAATTCTATCTGGCCATTAGTCAGCATGACCCGCTGCTGTTACTTCCCCTTTGTAGAAGCTCTCTCTCCTTCCCCACACCTAAGTTTTAAATATGAGAGCTCTGCAAATGTGGAGACCTCTATCACCTTTCCTAATTTTTCACCTTCACTATTATTAAGACGGAAGAGCTGGTTAACTTGTTTGACTGATTGAGTGTATTGCAAGGACTCTGACTCCGATAAGGTCAGCTAAGGAATAGCTTCAACCTGAACTCTGAACAATTTCTGGCTATTGAATCACTTGAGGAGGGGAAAGAAATCACCACCACCAAGCATCTTTTCCGATAATTTAACACAGCAAATGACAAAAATGAAGAAAAGAGAGGGAAAAGTCTAAAAGCAAACCTCATTTAAGAAAATATGATTAAATATAAGTTTATCTGTGCATATTTCATTATTTTTACCTTTTTTGGAAGGGGAGGAGGGGTCCTGACCTATGACTCCATTGCTGCAGAGCACTCCTATCCACTCTGCCGCTTGTGTTTCATTAATACTATCATGTTGCATATCTTGATCCAGACTACACTTCACTTCCAGAAACATCTATTAAATATCTACACTATGCTTACTGATGTGCTTGAAAGTAAGTAGCAAATTTTTACATGATAAAAATATGGCATAGATAATAAAAATATGATCATAGATTTAGAGCTGGGACTTCAGGAATTTGAACCCAGGTTCTCAAGCTCACTGTGCCACACTGATGCATAGGATCATTCATTTGGAGCTGAAAGGGTATTTGAAGATCATCTAGGCCAACCCTTTCACAGAAAGATTTAAGTGACTTTCCTACAGTCACAATGGTAGTAGCATCAGAAGCAGAATCTGAACCTAGGCCCTCTGACTATAGAGTGAACATTTTTTCCATTACTTCTAATATAAAAAGTGGGAAAAAATTTGTAATATTTATGTTGCTGAAAGACTATTAAATCACACAGATCATATAAAAAGATAAGCATCACCAAATTATGCCTGAATAAATTTAATAGCATTCAATCTCACTGACTTAGGGAAGCTTCTTAGATTGCGTTATTGCAACGATGCTGTCCAGATAAATAAGTAAATTTGACAGCATTCAGAATTTAAAAGCATTTCATTCCATAATGATTTTTTTATTATGTTACCATCTGCACCAAATTATTTAGAATGAGAACCATTGGTATTTAGGGAAAAAAAAAGTCCTTTGTCCTTGACACATCTGTTGATGATCTTAGCTAGCAAAGAAGTTGAGTTCATATAAAAAAATTAATTTAATTGTCATGGAAAGTGAGAGAATTGAAATGTTTTACTAGAAATAAATTATACATAGAAAATGATGAATAAGCCACTTAAAAATGTTCTTTCTTAGCACATAGTTGAAAGCTGGGAAGAGAAGAAGAGGAAAGTACTACAGTCACCATTATAACCTTAGCCACAATTTCTTTCCTGCACTCTCACAAAGTGGCTTCTACTGTCTCTTTCTTTGAACAATGAACCTGAAGTACAAAGATCCCTTTTTACATGCTGGCTCTGCCGCCTCCTATATGTATGAACGTAAGAAAGTCATTTAACTTCCCTGGCCTTGAATCTCCTCATAAGTAAAATGGAGATCATAATATTCAAGCTACTAAAAATTCTATTCAAACTACTAGGCCATAGGGTTGTTGTGAAGAAAGCATTTTGTAAATCATAAAGTGCTATAAAAATATCAGATATTATAGTGCTAATATGGCTCCTTTAGCCTAATATTCTGCAGCACAGAAGATGCCTTCAAAGAGACCATACATTCTCAGTATGACCAGAGTTGTCTCTTCCCACAGTTGTAGAAGTCAACTTGATCTTGGAAGCTAGAATATATGAACCCCAAGTTCCCTTACCCCATGGATCTGGAATAGGATTAGAGAAAGAATGTTATAAGTAGAAAGATTTTTTTAGAATTTTTCCCTTTTTTTCCTTATGTAGATTCAGAAAATATTCTTGAACATTTGTCTCTTATTACTCTTCTTGTGTTCTATCAACAATTCTCTCCTAATCTGATCTTTATATTCCCATACCCAATCTACCCTAACCGTGGATTTTAACAGACTGACAATAGAAGGAGGGTATTTAGGTGGTTGGTTTTGGGGAAAGAAAATCTAGCACATGTATTGCAGCCCACAAAAATTGCTTAATAATGAATCTGGGCATTTGCAATAATATATGATTGACAAAAGACTGGTGAACAGGGCTATAGACAGGGCAAACTGGTCCTGCTTTAAACTCACAGTTAATGTATACATCAATTCTTTAATTAAGAGGCCTTAAAAGGTTTTTATTAGCCTAAAGTAATCACTTTCATATTTGAAAATAAAGATGAGGCAAACAAAAATTCTGTGGATGTATCTATCATGATGCCTTTAAATTTCCATTTTTTCAGACGTGAAAATTTTTATACTATAAACCGATAGGTTGAAAAATACAAAGAAAAAAAGCAAACCAGTACCAGAAATTTAAAATTTTCCAAAATTATAACAATTAACATATAATGAGCTCCCACAGTGTTCTTCAGTTGGCTACAAAGTTTCTATCATATCTAACAAAAGTTCTTTGTACATTAAGCTACCACATGAATCTAAATTATAGATTGTAGTTAAAACATGACAAAACCTATACCTCATTTTAAAACTGCAATGATACATCAAATGTTAGGTAATTTTAGAACAAGCCCAAATCACTAACAATTGGAAACTCATTTTATAACAATGGTACTATCAACAACTAACAGATACACAAGAGCACATCTGTTACAAATAATTCAAAAGATAAAAAGCCTGCTTCTAGGTAAAGAGGTCCTTATTTTAATGAAGAATTTTTTTCATTACTGCTGCTATTATTACTGTTGTCCTAGTTGCTTCTGTTTACTCGCAGTTTCAGGGACTTGTAAAATGACAAGGAGAGTGCTGTGTTTCAGCACTAGGCTGTTTGAACAGCACCTCTGTAACCCCTTTTATCCACTCGGTGGCGCTTAGTTGAATGAATGCTTAACCTCCAGCATTCTGCACAGTGGGTCCTTTCAGTCAAAACCAGACAAAATTATAGAATAACAGAGCTCAAGGGAATAAGCAGACTTTCTGTACTGATTCTATAATAGTCTCACTGATTTTTTTTTCCCAGAAAGGAAAGTAATGATATACATTCTGAAAATAAAGAGGAGCTATGCATACACAGATTCAAATCCAAAAGAATCACATACATTAACATAGCCATAGATTTATGGATGGATAATCACACAAATCAATATATAGATTTTACATATAAATAAGCATATTTGTTGCCTAAAGAAGGAAAGAAATTAAAAACAGGCAGATCTCCTTCTGCATTCAATTATACTAGTAGTATACTACTATATAGAATATAAAATATAATATAGAATATTATAATGAGTGGTAACTTTTGAAGTTGTCCAATCCAGCTAAGAGTATGTGGTTTGGTATAGATGAAAATCAAACAGAATAGATATAAATGTTACCTGGTTGGGATCCTGAAGTCTACATTATTTCCCAATTTATAAGCCACTTGTAATGATGTTGAGCCTGTAACCTTCTGGATAGCTCCTCTAGATGCTGCTTTATCTACCTGAAACTGAGAAATTAAGTCAAATCCTATGGAAAAGAAAGAAAGAAAAGATTATTAGTCAAATTCATTTTATTCTGTTCCATCACTTTCACGAACCAGAAATGCAGGTAAATAAATTCTAGAAAGCCAGTGTCAATTCTTCCAGTAAGATTGATGTTAACTTGCCTGGTAAATCATCCTGGCCAATCCTGACTGGTGGACAAAGGTCATTCTCAGGATTAGGAGTCAAGGAGATAGGGAACCCTGCAGGAGAGAAAGATGACTGTTCTAATTCATCATCTACAAATGAATCTGCATCATGATTAAGAGCTAATAACTTATTTACAATAAAATTCCTTAACCGAAAGTTGTTTATAATTATTGAATGTTGTAGCAGAGATTTGGACAAGAGGTTGATTTGATTGACTTCTTCTAACCAAAGAGTCTATTATTATAATTTTTTCAACATAAGATGGAATGATTCTAATTTACAAATTCTCCATTTACTGTTACCCCGGAGAAGGTGAGGGAATGAAAGGGAGTAGGCTTCTTAAATAATTTTTCTAAGCACAGTACTTGGCATGTAGAAAGTCCTTAATAAATTTTTTTTCTTTCATTCATTCATTTTGAAGCACAGCTATACTAATATCTACTGAATGGTACAGTGTCAGGAGCCTGGTTGGAAACCTTCTGGTGGTTCAGATTTTTTAAAAAGGTCCTTTCATTAAGTCAATAAAATTTTAGAAATTTTAAGAAAACCACCAAATGGCCCAAGGCCAATTCAAGTAGCTCCTGGATAGTGAAGTCCTTTGCAGCCTCCTCTTCTTTTAGAATTTCCTTTTCCAACAATGACATTAAGGAAGGGATCAAGTACACTTTGCCACCTCTGTTGATTTGGAGGATTCATACATTTTAATGGATTGATGCTGGAGGATTAAAACACCTGGATCTGCTAGTCAAATGGTCTCTCTTTAATATGGGAGGAGGTGGTAATGAGACGTGGAAGATAGAGGAAAAGAAAGAAAACCAGCCTTACTTGAAAATGACAAACAGGAAAGTTAAACATTTACCTAAACGGGGTGTGAAAGTATAGCAGGTATCCAAGTTAAAAGCTACTGAAAGTAGGAGTTGGGGAATGAAACCCATTTTTCTCAACTGCTGAAAGGTTCTTGGGCTTTCCTGAGCTGGGCATTCAACTGTGTTAGCTTGTGTAGGGGGTGCCCTGGACTCCCAGAAGACCACATTCCATCAAACCCTTTTCTGTTTTCCTTAACTAACTATGTGTCACCCATAAGGGATCAGGGCTGCTCCAAAGAAGAAGAGAATAAATGAGTATTCTCTTCATTTGCCTCTCTCTCAGTTCATCTAAGTAGCTGCTTTGCCTTTCAGCAAAATGTGATTACAGCCAGGGTTTCAGGTCTAAACTCAGTATGATTAAAAGAGAATCAACCACCTGGCACCCACTCACCCTGAAAGCAGGATCACAAGGGAAAATTGTGAAGGAAACTGCTGTCTCTCATTCCTCAAATAAGAGAGGCAGCCTCATATAGTGCTTAGAGCCCTGGACTCAGCATCAGGAAAATCAGGCTTTGAATTCTGCCCTAGACACTTGCTAACTGCGCTCCCCATGTAATTTATCCTCTTTCAGTCTCAGTTTCCTCATCTGCAAAATGAGGATTAAAGAAACTATTGCACTTTCCTCACAGGATCAACTGAGATAATGAATCTAAAGGGCTTTGCAAACCTTAAAGCACTGTATAAAGTCAGCCATTATTTTTATCATCCCCATCCTTCTTCACTCACTCCCAACTAGATGAAGGGTACAAGTAATATCTTGAACAACATGTTTTCTGCATCCATCCTAATCCCCTATTTCCCATACCTGCCAGAAGAATGAAAGCACTTACTTCGGTAACGCTGGACAGTTGCAGATGCCCAAGGTCCCAGGAAACAGCATACGAAGAAGAAAAATTGAATTTTCCTATAAAAGAGAAGTGGAGGAAGGGGGGAGACTTAAGCAGAATTCTCTCATAGGCTGAGACTTAAAGACATATTTGATGAAATGGGGGGGGGCGGCTGTTGCCTGCAGAGGAAATAAATCCAATTCCATTATAGTTTATTCATTTCATTGTTACTTTGGAACTTCATACTGATCTTCATATTTGTGACTTTACTGAGTTCATCACCTCATGTTCACACACACACACACACACACACACACACACACACACGCGCGCGCGCGCGCGCGCGCACCTTTGCATATTTCATTGTCAAGAGCATAGAATCTCAATTCTGAAATGTTCCCAGTCCAAGAAGCACCAATGTTTTACCTATCATAGGATTCCCCTCTAAAGGGACTCATTCTTACCAGCTGCCCTCCATTTTTCTGGTTGTTTTCCTTCTTCTGCCAACTGCCCCCCTTAGAAGGGGGCTACAGCGGGATCTGGGTTATCCTGGTACCCCCTGAATGCCACTCCAGGATTGAGAAGTCCAGGATGCTATAAGGGCTCTTCTTGCCCTTACAAGGGCTAAAAGAAAAAGGAGTGAACTAGAGGCAACTGGTAGCACTTTAATCCTGAGGAAGGAAAAGGGGGTGGAGAATAGTTTGCTTTGTGGACCCTGGTCAAGTTAGGGGTGGATCCTAAAAGGTAATGAGGTTATAAAGGGGGAGGAGCAAGCAAAGGAAAAGTTTCTGCAAAATGATACAAGATGCAAGAAAAGTTGGTTCGGAAAAAGTCACCCAGAATTCACTAGGAAAGCTGCAGCAGAAATATAACTACAATATTTGGAAGACTGAGTGAAAATGGTGGTGTCTTAGAATTTTGAAAAAAAAAAAAAGTTCAAGTAAATCACCACTCTCTTATTCCCACCTTGGCACTGAGATTGCTAGAGGGGCATAGATGGTGCCCGGCTCCCAACTGCTCCCAGATCCAATTAATACATTTGCCTCAATGAATCAATTTTTACTACAAGCTAAAGTGAACTTCTTGGAAAGTAAGCTTCACCAGCAAGATGCAAGCACACAAGTAAAGTTAAGTCGAACAAAAGCAGAGTCAAACAAAGCACTAGATGGGTAAATAGCTCTCACTGTCCCATCTATTTCCATAAGGTAATTTAACTTGGGCTCAACCCTAGGATTATGGGTTTGGTCTAGGGAAGGTTGCAGTACCTTTAGTCCTGAGCTAATTCATCCCAAATGACCAGGTGCCAGATGACGTTAGAAGATCTAATCAGTTCAGAGGTCTATCCAAGTAAGAAGTAGTGCATAAAATGTTAGACTTGGAATTAGTAAGACTTGTTTTGAACCCTGCCTTTAAAACAATCTGTGTGACCATCGACAAAACCTCTTCATATCTCTAAGCCTCAGTTTCTTTATAATATGGGGAAACTAAGGCCTGGAGTGCCTACCTCATAAGGTTGTTGTTCGAATCTAATGAGATAATGTATACAACATGATTTGAAAACTTTAAAGTGTGGTTGAAATGCTAATAATTATTACTGATAGATGGGGTAGTTCTGTTTTAGCTTGAGCAAAACTTGAAGAAGGTTCTTTCATCCTTTTCCTCATAGTTATAAAATAAACTGATATGTTGTGCCCTTTCAATGCTATAATAAAGAGGAAAAGAAATCCATTGGCAGAGACTGTCTCCTTTGCTCTGAGTCTAGCTTGCATTCCACTGTGTTTCCTCCATGTGTATCAGAGCTACCTCACCAATGAATCTTTAGCAAACTGAGGAGTTGATCAGACATCAGACAAGCTTAGAAGGTTTAGCTAAAATGGTCATAATACTGTAAACTATTTTTATACTTTATATAATATAACATAACATATCATATAATAATATAATATAATATAAACTAATTTTACATATTCTTAGAGATTCCTCAGGACATTTGGTAAATATTATTTATTGAACTAGGAGAATGAGTGACTACTATCCAAATCCCATACCATCTCTGATTTCTAAATCATTAGCCTGTAAAAGACTATTCTAATTGGAATTAGGGGCTGGTTATCCTGGAAGCTAGTTAAATAATTAACTCTACCTATTGAACACTCTGTCTCTTGTATGACTGGTTTGTCCCTGTAGTTTTCCATTTATCATGTATAATTCTAAACTATTCTCCTAGGCACAAACCTCTTTCTTATGTGACCTCTCCAGTGCATACTTACTCCCTACTGATTCATCCTTACCTTACTCCATTCTCCTGTCTCATCCAATACTAACCCTTCTCCAATCTCCTCATACTCATCTTAATTCTCTGGCCCCTCTAATCTTTCCTCTTTCTTCTATTCATCACCCTTATTCTGCCTACACAGTCAATCCAATGGTCAGCAACCTCAATGATTCATTATCCTTCCTTCATTGAATCCCATTCATTCTTGAGCTTCTATTATCTCAGCTTTGGTTAGCCCCACTATCCATCATCTCTGTCCATCCTCCTAAGCTGCTGATCACAGCTGGAGAAAGGCACAAAACTGTGCTGATGGATCTCCTATAAATTCATGCCATCTAATCTCAAATGAGTTCTCCCTACTGATCATCAATTCTTTTATCCTTCTTAGAAATTCCTTATTACATTGTCCATGATAGTTATTTCAAACACTTTCCTCAAGCCTCCATCTCTCCAGTAACACTGTCACCCTCAGTCAGTATTCCACCTCCTACTTTATTTTAAACACAGTGTGTGTGGAAAAGTGCTAAGCGGAGTTGTTGTCAGAGGATCTGGATTGAAATCCTGGCTTGGCTATGCAAGGTGTGTTACCCTAGGCAAGTCACTTAATCCTTCTGAGCCTGTTTGTTCTATAAAATGAGGAGGTTGGAAAAGGTCATCTGTCAACCTATAATCTACCTTAATTCCTCCCAACCACACTTAGTAGAACTTAAATATTTCTGGTGATCTGTGATCTCATTGAGGAGAATATGATGGTGTAGACTACAGTCCAACTGGGGCTTCTTATCCTGTGTAACTTGTCCACATCCTCCACTAGTCCTCCCCAGGGAGTCCATCCAACATAGTAGGGGCATTCTTCTAAATCTCTTGGCATTACACGAATACTAATAGAACTCACTGGCTAACCACTTAGTATCCCTAGCCCTCCTCATATGACTGCCCTACCTCCTCTTCCATTCATACATTGCTTCAGTGTTTTTCTGTTATGCTACTTTTAGTGAACACTTCCAAACTGGAAATACACTGCAGCCTACTCTTACACAGCATTTAATTTATCAAGGTCCTTTGGATCACTTGCATTTTTTATTCCCCCGAAATTGTGTTGTTCCTTGATTCAATCATATAGTATCATGGGAGGAATATTGGTAGGTTTTTTTTTATTTCAGGCACAACTATAAGGTTATTTAAATCATTGTATAATTCCCCAAAAGCATTCTAGTCCACTATCTTCTTCCTATTTAGTTCTAGAATCAGTTTATCTAACTGCTATGAACAAAACACTCCATCTCTCAGCTCCTGGTATTTTCTCTGGCTATCCCCCATGCCTGGAACTACCTGCTGGCTTCTTTGGCTTCCTTCAAATCACAACTAAAATCCCAATTTCTATGGAAAGCCTTTTCTAATCTCTCTTAAGTCTTGACTCTTTTCTCCTATTTATCCTGTATACAGTTTGTTTGTACATATTTTTTGCTTGTTTTCTCCCCCAATAGATTATCAGCTCCTTAAACACAGGGACCATTTTTTGCCTTTCTTTGCAAACCCAGCACTTAGCACAGTGTCTGGCACGTATGCATTTTATAAATGCTTTTCAGCTGACTAACTGACCAGTTCCATGGCTTGTCCATCCAACTTAATGCCATTGTCTCAACAATAGGCATTCTTCAACCACTTGGCTTTTCCAGTGTGGATGATTGGATTTTTGAGTGTGTATGTATCTGATTTAGGAGGCTTTACAATGCCCTAGGACTCAATATAATCAATACAATGCCATCTGCAAATAGAAGCATCTAGAAGACCTAACCACTAAACTCAGGATAATTCTTTCAGTTGGACTTTGCATTAGACATCCATCATGCTAGGCACAAATACCTTTAGGAAGCAAATATTTCCTTGTTTTATCCATTTCTTGATATTAACTTTCAGAGAGTCATCAAAGTCATCTGTCACTGCATCTTTCAATAAATCTTAGATGATTTTAATATACCAATGGGAAACACCTTTGCTAAAAAAAAAAAACAACTTTAAGTCAGCATTTTGTGTTATAGAATTAAATCAAAATAATCAACTTAAAAAACATTTATTAAGAGCCTGCCATATAGCAGGCTTGAAGCATATAACTTGAAGCAGAGGATATAAAAACAAAACAAAAATAATATCAAGCCACAAGGAGCTTGCCTTCTACCGGAAATGACAACATGCACACATATAAAGTATGTAGAGAAATACCACCAAATGAATACAAGGTAATTTGGCAAGGTAGACATTAACAGCTAGCAGCATCAAGAAAGGCCTCATGTAGGAGGAGGAAACTCAAAATTCTAAGAGGCAAAGGAGTACATATGGATGACAAGCTGTGCAAAGACAATATGGAAAGCAGAATGTCACATGTGCCAAATAACAAGAAGGCCTGTTTGGTGAATCATGGAGAGTGTAAAAGACAGAATCAAATACATTTTTTCACTTTTTTTTAATAGTAAAGCAATGATAAGTACAGTAAGATCTTGCATTCTTTGTACCTTGAAGTCAATTGTGTGACCATAAAGATATACTGCTGTAGATTATTGATTATGAAAACCTTTTTGCTGTTATTGTTCAGTCATGTCGGATTTTTTGTGACCCCATTTGGCATTTTCTTGGCAAAGATACTAGAGTATCTTGGCAAACTATGCCATTTTCTTCTCCAGCTCATCTTACAGAGGGAAACTGAGGCAAACAGGGTTAAATAACTTGCCCAGGGTCACACAAGTAGTAAGTGTCTGAAGCTGGATTTGAACTCAGGTTTTCCTGACTTCAGGCCCAGAGCTCTAGCCAATGTGCCTCCTAGTTGCCCATGAAAATCCTCTCATGATCTTCTCAAGGATACCGCTCAAAATTGTCCATTACCTTCCTCTGTAAGAGTTTACAAAGTTTTTTCTAAGTAGATGTTGCCCTTGGTTGCCATTTTTCCCCTGCCTATCAAGAGATCAACTGTTTGCTGCTTAGGTGGCCAATAATATCTTTTGGCCTCCTCATCATGGCAATTAATTTACTCAATTAAGCTTTTTAAAGAAAGGGTTGAGTCTGTTGAGTCTATTTATCTATTGGCCATTTTTTTCAGGATCATCAGTTTGCTTAAGTAGGTCATGTTCAACTATTTTGTTGTACACTATATCTTCTCATTTTTCTTTTTTTCTTCTAATTTGATATTGATATTGATTTTTTGCTTT